GTAAACGCTATCGATACTAGCCATCGCGCGACAGTGCGATGAAGAAGTCGGTTTGTTGTCGGAGAAGTTTTCGCGGTGAAAACGACCGGGTGTGTGAAACGACGAGTGTGCAGAGTCGTGCGCGGCTTCAGCTCGCCATAGACTTGCTATGCGAGTTTGATTGTTGCGCCCCGCGGCTAAAAGTACGGTGAGAAATAACGTTGTGTGTTGAGGATGCATGAGATAGAGAGAGGTCATGCTACTTAAAAAAGAATCGCACGACACGGTTCTCTCGTATATTCAACAATTTCGAAAGTAAATGGAATATCCTTCAGTCGGTATTGCGTCTAAACTCTCTCGCACAAAGTTTCCAAAACGTTTAGCGAACTGTTGACACTTCTCTCTAGAAAAGCGAAAATTAAGATAAATTGTAAAATTTTAAATTTGTATAAAGTTTTATTATTTTCAATAGCGTTTTTGATCGCACCAATGACGTCAATTAAATCTTCGATGGTAATTAACGTCAATTTTCGGTAAATCAAACAACACGATTGGTCGATTTGTCAAATTGATGTTACCTCTAGAAGAAAAGCGATTTAACTTGTTGCAGTAAAAAATATTATAAGACTCTTTTGGTTTGTACAATAAAGAAATATATGAAGATCTTCGTGATAGGTGAGAGATCTCTCGAATTTCTTACAGCATTTATTATTGACTTGTTTGCCGGTAAAACGAACGGTTTTACGAAGCGCACGCGCGTCGTTTCGATTTATGTCACGTTTCGGGCCAGTCTTTGAGCGAGAGATAAGGATAAATTTTACAAATACAACACACAGCGTGGCGCGACAGAATCGAGGTTGGCGAGGTTGATATTTCTTGGCAGTGAGCATGTGCAAAGAAATCGAGTCGCTGGAATTATTAATGCATTTTCATTTTGTTCGCGATGAACTAGATGATGATTCCTCAAACGCTTTTTGTTCATTAATTTAGTATGCGTGAAGCGTTACTTCGTTACGCGTTTCTTCATTACGAGATAGCGCAGAGAACAAACTTAATTGTTATGTAACGCGATACAAGCGCTTTTTCGTTTCCGCTTTTGTGGTAAATTATTTACAACTTCACTTGAAATTGCCTTTTCGAAGAGAAATATCTTGGAATAATAAATCGAGTGACGCCGCTCACATTGTGCATTGACTGTTTTCCATTTACGTCAGTCATGATAATGAAATATAATCGTGGTGCATTTTATTTGCACACGCAAATCTTAGGCAACTGTTTTAACTTTTGTGTTAACTATCATATACATCGTTGCGCAAAACGACTGAGGAAAACAGGATTCCGCGCGACTTTATTACATCGCTCGATTGTTTTGACGGAAAAAAGAAATAAACTTGTCATTGCGTAAAATTCGTCTGTATTGTTTCATATACATATAGATTACGTTATAATGCGCGCGAGCCGTGAAACGAAATCGACGCTTTCTCTTTGTTACGCTTTATCCGCCCGATAAAAGAAGAGAGCCAGATACTTGATCAAGATCCATAATCACAATTAGCGTTCGTGATATCGCCACGCGTCCTGATCGAAATTACCAACATTATCGTCGAGCAAACGGATATGTCTGATTATTTTTGCACGCGATTTAATAATACACGGTTCGGTGTCTCTTTTTATTACGCTCTTTTTTTTTATTTGCTATCGCTTTATAGATGACGCTAATTCACACGCGACGATATAAATACTTACACGTCGTCGTCACACACACGTGCGCGACGGTAATCGGTCCGCATGTTGGCAAAGGCCGCGGCTTTTGTGATGCAACTAATTCTGAGAAGCGCGATGAAATCAATGTTTTTGCAAAATCTTGTCTATCCTCGCGAGACCGGTATCTACACATCCGCAAGGAGCGAACTGATGTAACGCAAACACCCGTTAATTTTTTGTTTTTTTGTTTCCCACTTTGAAAGAATGACCGTAATGGAAGCACGCTGAAATAAATTGAGCAAATAACTGGAATAAATTTAGCTCGGCTGGAGATATATAATTTGACAGTGATCCTCTGATGACTATCTTATTCAAAGAGAGATGAAAGTATATTATATGTACGTGAAACTTAAATTTTTTAAACTAAAAATTTGTAACATGTAGATTTAATGTTGCCTTATTTTTTGAAAATTATTCGTAGTTACATTAATTTACAGATTATGTTTTCTTTAGTTTTCATAAGTGATGAAAAGTTTTTTTTTTTTTTATCGAAAACGTATGATCTACTCTTCTCCATTCATTATCTTCAAAACTATGTGTGTGAACGTACAATGTTCATGTGCATGTTTCGCGCTTCAAAACTTTGCCGCGATAGGCAGAACCTAAATAGAGAGAGAACCTCGAAACAGAGATTTTTGAATGAACGCACGAACATGTACATATGTCGGAGAAGAGAAGACGCGCGCGAAAACGATGCTATCTGTGACATGAGAAAATGGGACTTCTCATTAACCGGTCTTGTTACGTGCGAACGCGACGCGTGCGAATGTAACATTCACATTGTTACCGGAGAACGTTGAATCGGTATATCGAAGATATTAATAAATGGGTCACACAATCAACCAATCGATAATTAAGAAATTGCAATCTCTCGATTCCCGGTGATGTTGCTTATTAGCGATGTGTGTAATAATCAATGGTATCATCAATTTGGATTTTTATTACTGCTTCGTCAATGTCGATAACGATAAATTGTGTTTTTATCATCCGGAACAACACGAAAACATTAAACTAACGTGATTATTCTTGGATCGTCAGTTTGAAACTAGCACGCAATGAGGAAAGAGGGATTAAATTGTTTACTTTTCTGGAATATAGACTACATACATTTTTTCGGCTACTCTTGATGAATAACAAGTGAGATAGAACAAAAAATTAAAATCTTAGTACCGAGAATACATACAATTACGTTAAAAATTCGAATATAGTAAAATACGGAAGTTAGGTCATTAGTTATGTTTGTTAGTTGAACAATTAGCAAAGTAATGAGTCATTTATAAAATATAACATGAAACATAAGTACAAATAATACGCGTAAACTTGGAGCGGTACGACAAACTTTCTATATTAGAACCCCATCTTATAAGAGAAGAATTATTAGCGTGCCCGATAATTGCAAAAAAGCACCGATACTAGATTACGGAATCTTTTAATGCGGGAGTAATGCGTAAGTGCGTGCGTACGACCGCAAAGAATGCGCGAAAGGTAGAGATAATAAGACTCACGAGAAAGGCAAGAGTAAACATTAAATAACTTTTACGCCGGCAATTTTGAAATCCAAGAGAGAAGAGAGAGAACTTTAATTGCCGCTTAATCTCGCTTGTTTGCAACAAACGGTCAGTTTGCGTCACAATAATTTCAGTTATTTTTCTCTAACAATGACTTATATTAAACGCGTCGCGAAATCTCGAAGAGACACTATTTTTGCCAATGTACTTTTAATTAGAATTTGTCAAAAATACTTTGTTATATGAACCGTTAGGAAATGAACGTGAAACTTCAGAGCGGTCTCTGAAATATTTCATTGTGATCTCATTTCGCGAATATGATTTTGCGAAACGGAACCCGGCAGTATGATGTTCGATTATAATCTCCTTCCTCGTTAAATCCGCGCGTTTGCGACGCGCGCTCGTGCACAGGGCGAATTAATAAGACGCACGCTCACCGGGCCCGTCTAATTAGAATGTAGAAATTAATTTGACGCCGAGGTAGAATTCTCTCGCGCAAAGACGAACAAGAAGATTATACTTTCACTGTGTGTACGCACCGCGCTCACGTTTAGCAAGTTTTCCCCGCTGTATATTTCAGAATTTTACACTTTTTCGTGTGAGTTCCGATATTCGTTAGCAAAAATCTTCTTAATCTCGTAAGGGCTGTTCACTCGGTCGCTTATTTGCAGATCGCGGTTAGTGACGCATAACGGTTTAGATAACTGTGTTAACTACATACGTGATAAATCGCGACCTCTCTCTATCGCATTCTCAAAATAATACCGTCGTAATCTTGAAGAATTCAGTAATTAAGTTTCGTTTTCATATTGATCAAACGTTTGTGAAATTCTTATTTAAAAAAAATGTTTAATTGGAAAGATTAAAAATACACCTTAAACAAAATATCAAATATCAAAATATATTCCGTTATTTATAGCATGTAAATTGTTTACAACAGTGATTATGTCGCGGTTGTTAATTTATAAGATGTGATGAAGTAAAAAATTTTATGACGGTGCGATCGAGGACAAAGACAAAAAAAAGTTCGAGTGGATGTTTTATTGAGATGACGGTGACGTTAGCGAAATGTCAGCGTAGCTCTCTCGCAGGAATTTATCCTTGTCGTTCGTGTTAAAGTGTTTATCATATTCATTTATGTCGTCCGCAATGAACGACGCTAGTCTGATAATACCGAACGGGCATCGCTGCTTGCGCCGTGGATTACGGAAGTATCCGAGTATCGATAAGAAATTGTGGGACCCGAGCAGCAGTTGGATATTGAAATGGGATAACATAGTGAAGCATCCGGGCGCGAGGGCGCGGGGATGTCACTGTGACATTCACAAACCACCTTGGTTGTATCCAGATTTAGGTACATATAATAATTATAGGTAAAAATGATCAAAATTGTAAAGTGATTGATGAAGTAGTTAATGTGATGATAAAGCGGAATTTTTTGGGGGGGAAAAAGTCTTATATCGACAATAATATGACAAGTCTCTTTTTTTTTTTTTTTTTTTTTTT